CCCCGGAAAGCAGATCCCGGCCTGAGCCCTCGCAGTTAGGTCGTAGGACAGCAGCTCGCCGTCGGCGTCCCGGTTCACTCTTTGGACGTGTGCTTCGACCTGAACACAGGGGAGGCGGAAAGGGATGACTCTTTGTCACAGACCGCAGCGTTCGCACCCACTTGCGGTGCGTCCCGCTCCAGTAGCGAACTTTCTCGCCGACCGCAAAGACCCCTCGGATGGGCAAGCTGCCAGGCGCACGCCATCGCACGCCAGCATCCGAAAAGAATCGCAGACCAGGCGCGTGGAGGATCTTGAGGAGCCGGTTTCAGTGGAGGGCTTGAGGCCTGCGCCTGGCCACGCAAACGGACCTCACCAAACATGTGCCCGGCCCTACCTGCCGATGCCTCTGGGCTTGCCACTGCCGGGACGGAACGGCCGTGCTCCTCCTCACATCGAAATTCACCATGCAAGTCTTTTTTTCTTTCTCTCTGTCTCTCCGCTCTCTTGGGCCTGCTGCAGCTCGCGGTCCCGCCGCTCCTCCTTTTCCTGCCGGAGCTCCTGCACGCTGCCAGCTGCTCTGTTACTGGTAGTGGGCGTGCCAGCTATGCCAGCTCTGCGCGACTGCACCTAGCGGTTGCTGCCTTGTCAAGTCTCTCCTTGCGCCGTCGCCAGGGCGGCGGGTCTGCCTGAGCATCCGAGCCGCACATTGACTGTATTTGTTAATTTGTTAAGATTTGCAGCAGCCTCGTGAGAGGCATCGGCCTAGCGAGGGAGCGTGGAGCTGGTGCTACAAGTTCGCAGAAGCCCCAGCCTCAGCCCCTGCGGAGCGCCAGGGAGGAGCCTGACCGCGCTGGCGTGGCGCGGGCCTGAAAACATCCTGGTGTCAGAGATGGTAGGACAAGGGACTCGCCGCACTGCCGCAGTGCAGGAATCACGGCAGTCCTCTCCCATGCTAAGCTTCCGCCATGGGCCGCGCACACAACAAAATCTCTGCAGGTGGGCGTTTGGTTGTCGGGTGTAGGCTGGGAAGAAGCAGACTGTATCACACTGTATACCCCCGCGTTCCTGCATGGGTCTCCCGCTTTGCGGCTACAGTATGCCGGCGTGAGGACGGTCAGGTCAGAAGCTCCATGGGACTCCATGGGTCCATGTCTGACGGAGGCTGCACTTGCCCAGCTGTCCAATCGCTCAACAACTCCAAAATCCTCGACGTCCTCATGCTAAGCGGCACAAGCGGCACGGCAGTTGAGATGCAGAACACAGTGGCTGACTCTCGCATCATGGGGACATGTTTTGATTGCCCGACACGCTTTGGCAGGCTTTGAAGAAACTGCAAGAGCGGAGAGCAAGCATTCAAGCAGAGATGCGGCGATGCAGGTACGTTCTTTCCAGATGAACCATCACAAACATCTCCTGGCTCTTGGTTGCTAAGACTTCCCCCTTCCATTTGTGGTGCCTGATCGACTGCTCAGCAGTGACCGGCTGCTCGGTTCTTCCAGCAGCAACAACTTGGCACCATTGAGTTGCCTGTCCGCTGTAAAACTACTTGCAACGGATTGCAAAGACTGCTAAAGCAGCCGTGTGAATGTACATTGCTGCTCTATTCAGCGAAGGACCACAAGCACTACCATAGAAGATGCATGGGATGTTCCGACCATCGGTCAATTACCGGGGCGTCCGAGGTGTTTGCAAGACTCCTTCAGGCAGTGCGATCGTATCCGTCAACCCCTTCAGAAAGTTCTGCAAAGCTTCTCAACAAGCATTGCGCAGTGCCTGGCCGTGGTGTCAGCACACTATTGCCGGTTTGTCCTTGCAGCCATGGACTGCATTTGCGAAGGCTGCGAGCTATCGCTGCCAAAAGTTCATGTAACAGCTCTGAGGCCCCAGCTGCAAGACCACCCACGTTCAGCAGCGCGTTCCGTGGCGTGGTACTTGGCCTTAACGTCCTGCAGCATTGATCGGAAGCACGACAGCTCTGGTTGCTGCCTGGCGTGCCTCGGCAAGGTAAGTCGTCTTCTTGCAAGCGTCTTTGACGCTTGTCACGAAGGCGCGCATTTGCCTCGTCATGGGAGGACACGGGCCGCAAGGTTGACGCTGGCGAATGAGAAGTCGGTGCTTCCGAATGACGGCTGTGCGATTCTCGAGGCCTCTTTGCTTCATCCATCTGCTCCCGGAGCTCGTCCCGCCTCGCCTGCTTCTCCTGAGTCAAAGCTGGAAGAGCTGGGCGTCTGCGAAAGTGAAGGTCTCATGACTGGCTTCATCTAGAAACCGCCTTGAGATCCTGCATGAACTTCTCATACTTCAGAGTGCATGCCTGCAGATGCTGTCTTCACTTCGAACATCTGCTGTAGGTTCGGCTTGACTCGTGATCAATCGTAAAACGATTCAGAATCTGCCCCACGTCCAGACCTTCAATTCCTTCTCTTTGTCGTCAAGCTCTTTCTGAGCTCGGACCAGCATTTCCATTGCTTCCTGCGTGTCTCATGCAGGACGAGCAGACTGAATTGCTATGTGCCAGTGCAAAACCTGATTCTGAAAATAAGCTAGTTGCAGCTACGAGTCATGGATGGTATGCAACCAGCTGCTGTTGCTGCTGGAAGTATCACTGGCACCACCACGACAACTGGTGCTGCCCATGCTATGACAGCTTCAAGAACAAGTGCTATCTATTACTAGTAACTCGTGAACGTTCTGCGCGTGCTACTGCTGCTTCTGGACTTGCTGCCGCAGTTGGCACCACCACCAACGACGACGACCACCACCACCACAACAACAACAACGAACAAGAAACAACAAACAACTGACAACAAACAACCAACATCAACAATAACATCAACAACGAGAACAAAAACAACAACCAACCAACCAACCAACCAACCCACCCATCCACCCACCCACCCACCCACCCACGAACCAACCAATCACCCAACCACCAACCAAAAGCCAAAAACCGACAGCGAACTGCCAACAGCCAACAACCAACTACCAACATTCAACAACCACAACAATCCACAACAACCCGCCAGAGCAACAACAGCAACAATAACAACAACAACCACCACCACCACCACCACCACCGCCACCACCACCACATCCACAACCACAACCACAACCACAACCACAAAAAAAAATAACACAACCTCCTCACGTTTACCTTCACCACTACGACGACCGCTACTGCATCTGCTGCTGCTGGTGCTGCTGCTACTACTGCCGCGTACGACGACGAGAACGGCGACGACGGACTGCAACTCTTACGCCTTCAAATGTCAAACACAATTCTCCTATCCTGCAGAGACATGAACGGCATCAACTGTGCTGACTTCGAGCATGTCGTTGCTGCAGCGACAAACAGCCGTTGCTTCCACTTACGGGTGGTATGCAGCCACCACGACGAAGGCTTGTCAGGAGTGTTGTGGTGACTTGGGTACAATCATGGCTACAGCTCCTCATGGGTCTTGGCACGCTTCTCGCGCTCAGCTGTGAGCTCCCCGAACTTGCGAACCTGGGCATGGGAAAGTGTGGACCTGCCTCCAATGCCTGGTAAACCGCATGGATGCCTGCCACATCACAATAAAAGCCCCCGGCGATGTTTTCTAGGTTCTTGGAGGCCTGGTACCCGGCCCTGGCCTCCGCACATGTTCAGACATCTTCAAGCACCACAAATACCACAACATGAACAAGTCCGTCTCAAGGAAGACTCGTGAAGAACGAACCCAACGGCTGCGCCTTGGCAGTGGCACTTGCCTTGGCCAGCGAGTCCACAGGTCCATTACTGATGCTGTAACATCGTCGCACCCTGAGAGTCCGGACGCTTGCATCGGCCATGACCGTCAGCCATGTACTTCGCTGATAAGATTCAGCCGTGAAGATAAAGCTGACTGAATTCAATCCTCTAGACCAGCATAGGCCTGGGTGCTTCTGTTCAATTTGTGGCCGTGGCCCACTGTTTGATGGAATCTGCTTCCGCTACAGCTCTAGCCTGGCCTCCATGCCATGCCCTCCGATAGCTGCAATTGCCATTCGCGAGAAGGACAGGGCATGTGGTAAAGGGTGCAAGATGGTGGAGGGTCTGGGCACCGATCGTGTGTTTTGCACTCGGAAAGCTCTGCTGCTTTGCAGCTGGCGGAGCAGCTCCACTTCTGTTACGGGCCGCAGAGCTGCCGAGGACATTGCCTCTCTCATGCTGAAACCTCCATCTGCATTGTAGCAAGTGAAGAATCGCCTCGGTGCTTCGTCACCGAACTGCGCGATGCAACTCCTCCCGAGTCTCTCACCCACCCGTCTCCAGCAAGAGCCCATCGGAGCCGCAAAAGGCTTGCTGCAGGGCCTTGGAGCTCTGCACAAGCACTACACTTCCGACGGTTCGAGAAACCAAGGTTCCGTCCACCCCATCCCTGACCACGACCTCTTCGCAGTCAAAGCCCTCAGCAGCCAGCTCCTGCAACAACGTGCACTGGGTTCTGAGGATCAGAGCAGGATGCTGGAGCCTGGCAGACATCGTCCACAGAGTGGAGCCTCAGCGTATGCCGAGAACCGCACATTCAGCTCGCAGGCAGTGCCCACACCTGTGCATTCTAAGCTTCAAGCGAACCGGCCTCGCTCAGATCCTGACTAAGTGACGAGCAGCACTGGCATGGCAAAGCGTCGCACAGCGTCGCAGCGTAGTTCGGCTGAGGCTTCGGCCATCCCATCTGCAGCACACTCGGCCTGCTCGCAAGAATAGCGGAGCTGCGGAACTCCAGGCTAGAGGCAGCTGAGCAGGGGGCCTTCAGGGTGGCATAACCTCACACCGTGTTGGACAGGTTCTGCGTGGTGAGCTCGGTGATGATCTGCACGCCCTAGCCGTGCATGATGCCAAGCGCAGCCCAATGGCAGAAAGTCCTGGAAATACATGCTGGTGCCTGCAAAGAAACGGCCGTCGTGAGGGGCTCACTCATGGTGCTGGCCGTTGCGTTGGTCTGCACCAAGTTTGCAATGGCCTTCCGTCGGATCAGCCACAACCGACAGTGCACACCAACTTGCTGAGTGCTGCCTGCGGATCCCAGTCATTCATCGTCGCAAGTGCACTGGATGCTGTGGATCTGGTCCGCAGGACCCAGGCGCAGCTCATTGAGCAATCTCTTCTAATTCTAGGTAAGCAACTCGGAGAAGGCTCCATGGTAATGACTCACCTGCAAACAGCAGTAGTACAAGGGCCAGGGCCACAGTCCGCCTTGAAAGATGGGTCTGTCTATCGCAATGTTGACGCCTTGGTAAATCCCCACGCGCTGTTCGACGTTCCCTGGACGTTGAACCTCGGAGGCGTCAGAAGCGAAAGGATCCGAAAAGATTCACCGAACTACAATCTGGTGAAAGTTTGGCCGGCCTGGAGATTGCCGTCACGGCTTCGGCGCCTCCGACGCATCGCGGAATGGGCCCACGATGCCCATACATCGCTTCTGCATGGGGAATCGTCTCAAGGCCCGTGCCGGTGGCATCCAGGAGGAGCAGATCACGCACTCGCAGAGTGGCCTCGAAATGTGATGGCTTCTTTCACCGAGTCTTTGCCAAAGCGCGTCCCTCACAAAAGGCCCGTGCAAACGACCAGGCAATGTTCCCCAGCTCCTGGTGCCCACAAGACGAAATCTTGGCCACCTGGCTGACAACTTCTTGCGTTCTGACTCTTGTGAGCTCTCTCTGCTCCACCATGGTCTGGGGTCGGCGCCGCTGCAGACGAAGTTGCAGCTGTCAGTGCCTGGCCGTTTGCGAGAGCCTTGGCAGATGTCCAAACCTCGGATGAGAGGCTACAAGGAGGCTACATGCGAATGCGTTGCAGTCTACCATGCCACAAGCCCCCCACCAAGTTCCCGATGTTCTGCGCCCCGGACTGGGGCATCTGACCTAGAATCTGGAGCAGACTTCTTGCTGCACCCTATCGAGCATCTCGCGTAACAGGCCCGAATCTCGTGATCTTGGTTCTCGACGCTGGCCAGCAGCAGAAGTTGCACTCAGCAGACCTCCGCATTCGCCAACTGCCAACCCGCGGTGCAGACAGTACATTCTGCGGTCCCAGCGCTCGCTCAGAAACTGCAGCTTGGCAAGGCCCTACGCTATGTTCGACAGGTGCTGGGCCTGACACAGAGCGCTTGAGTTGCAGAAGCTTACCTTCACCCAAAAAGCAGACGAAGCTTCGAAGGAGGTGGGAAATTTACAGTTTACAACCCCTCCCTGTGTGTGAAGCCTACTGGGTTTCAGTGTTCGGGAAATGCGCGCAAATCAGAAATCCTAGAAAACCAGAGATGGAGCGACTGAGCACTTCTTCGCAGGTTCACCATCTGCATCACCGGCCCTGGAGAATTGCATGGCAGACTTGCAGCGGAGCGCCTGCAGCTCGGTCACCTTCAATAAAATCGCGGCCTGGTGCACAACCCGCGCACGAGACGGACTCCCCCCCAAGTTTCCCTGAGTCCCGGGCGGTGGGTGCTTCTGAAACAGGCTCCTCTCTCGCCAGCAATCGAGCCTCCAAGCACTCACCACGGCTCAAGTGCTGATAAAGACATGTGCACCGTCTCTGGTCCTACTTGTTGACGGCGCCCCTGCCATGCCCAGGTATTGTACATTGCATATGCATATCCAACAGCAGCCACCCGACCCATCCAAGACCTGTGTATGCATCTTTGTGTTTCAGCCTGCACACCTCTATCTTTAAAGTTGTGTCTGTCCGTGTGTGCATGTGTGCGTGCGCATGTGTGCGAAACACATGGATGGATGGATGGATGGATGGATGGATGGATGCATGGACGGATGGACGGCTGGCTGGCTGGCTGGATAGATGGCTGGCTGGATGGATGGACGGACGGAGGGAAGGATGGATGGATGCGCCTCGCCTCACTGGCTCTGTATGTATGTACGCAAAGGTATGTCGGCATGTGCACATGTATCGGTAACTGTGTGTGTGTGTGTCATCCGACCGAAGAGGTTGAAGCTCGAAAGAGTCGAATCCCTTTTTGGAGATCCTGTGTTCGTTGGACTTTTGCTGTCCCGGGCACGGAGGCTCACGACAAGTTCGCCGGGCCCTGCTTGTGGAACGCCTGAGCACAGAATGAAGTCTTCCCCTCCATCCCACTGCCTTCAAGGTGCAGGAAGCACCGAATCACCGGGTCACTTGCGGGAGCACGAGTCATCACAGCAGCTACGCCTGCAAGGGTGAAGTGAACCCTCGCCAGCATGCACACAGAGGGTAACGGAATCCGGAACTCGGTGCTGTGCTCGCATCCACTGGCTGAGGATCGTGGTGCGCGGCCTTAGCGGCACATACATGGACACAACTCGCCGAATTTCCCGCCTTGCAATGAGTTTGAGCAGGCGAACCTTTGTAGCAGCCCACATCGTGGTGGAAATCGCCTAGCGAGAGCCGGATGATAAAAGCCCTGCAGTGCCTTGCTTTTGCTACGCTCCGGTCCGCTGCCTGCTCGTCAAACTCAGCCATCTTGACGGCTGCATTCGAAGTCAGGGCCTGGTCACGGTACTCGCAGGGAGCCCGGCAAGCATCGCCCACGCACGCCAACAAGAATAGAGAGCCCAACACACTTCAAGCATCTTGAGGCCCCGCCTGCAGGAGTGGTCGGCGAAGTTGCCGCAAAGCAGTTACCGACTGCGCAGCGTTCGAAGGGCCTCATAGTCAGCGACTCGAAAACCAAGCCTACGCAGCCTCTTCTGCTGACGTCCGGTTCGCACCTCGCGAGTCAAGCTCTGGAAGTCTCTGCCTCAGGTGGCCCCGAGGGCTGGAAAACGGGTCTTCGAAATGCACACACGGAGAGTGACATCAGGGGGGAGACCTGCAGAGTCGTAGAGATGAGGAGTCCCAAAAACATCGGCAGAAGATCAGGATGTAAGTTGGTGCGAAAGTGTTTGAGGCTTCGGCATGGCCCGCAAGGATGCCACCTCCCAGAGCGCCGAAGGCTGCCACTTCAGTTTGCCCATGGCACGCGCAGCGCCTTCAGAGGGATGCGTTTCCTTTCCAGAAATCTTTCGGCTCGGGGCTCGGGAGAGTGGCTTTGGTCCCGGGCTGGAAAGGCTATGTGGCTCAAACCGGTCCATGCTGGCGAGCGCCACTGTCGCGATGGAGCCAAGCAGCGGGGGGCCTCTTTGCAGCGCTGCGTGAACTAGGCTGTCCGTGTCCGCAACCATCTTGAAAATGCTGGTCTGCACAGTCCTGCGGTCTGCGACTGCGATAAAGCCCACAATGCGTTCGATGTATGCCGCCTCGGCATGGGGCAACAGACATTGGGAGAGTTCACCACACAGCCTTGAGCTGGAATTGTCTGGGCTCCTCGCGGCCTTTTCAGGCTGTTTGGGTCATCGAGCGCTCGGCGCAGGGATCCGAGCAGCTGCTGAAGCCGTGGGTCTCTGCGGTTCTGGGCAGTGCGAGACTCCCGCGCAAGCCGGTCCAGTGCTGTCACCAAGTTGACGAAGTCCAAGTCAGAACGGTCTTCGAGAAACCTGTAGATCTCCTCCCCGCTGAGCTGTACGATGGTGTTGTTCACTTGTGCCGATCAGCTTGGACCCCTGGACCCCCGCGGAGACCAGCCCTTTGCTTTCCCCTTCATGCCCGAAGCAGATGGTCCGGGCCCGTGGCTCACAGAGCCTTGGCGTGATCCAGTCTCCACACCATCTGGCCGTGCCAATGCTAGAAGCCGCCCATGAAATCTTGAGCCCAGAACGGCACCGGCAACAAATCAGGGCCTCTGTGCTTGCAGCAGTTGGTCTGCTCAACCCTGATCACACACTCTTTGTCGGCGGTGGCAGAGTAGTCAATAGTCTAAATTTACCCAGGTGCACATTTTGTCGACAAGCATACCCCGCGCATCCGGCGCATACCCGTTACGCGGGCACCCAGCAGCCCTAGCAGAACGCGTCTGTTTCCTACAGTCTATGCCTGCCCCCAGACGATTCTGCGAGGATCTCGGCTGTCACCTTGCAAAGGGAGATGATAATCAAACCATCGAAACCGGTCTCGAAATCATAGAAATAACAGTAACAATAAACATACACGGAATAGCACTAATAACTGATGAGAATACTACAGTAGTAATCATCCTAATGGAAGTTGCAATAGTTATAATGGTAAGAACACTAATGATCATACGAACAATAACAATAGAAAACTACCACCATAACACAAATAATGGTCAAACTCAAGAGCCATAAGCATGTTATTCGTAAAACGAAAGCAAACAACAAACGTTACAATTTTGCTAATACATAAGCAAAACGGCTTGGATGATGATTGTCGTTTCCATAGTAGTACCTGAATGCACAGCACTCACAAATACCAGAACGAATGCTAGCAAGAATATGACAATGAGAATATCAATAGCAACAGCAATAATAATTGACACCATTAGGATCAATATAACAGGTGCAGTTACAATAGCAAATACAAACGCAATAACAACAGGATGACAAGAGGTGCCCAGGGGCGCGAACCTCGAGCTTGTCCCTGCGCCAAAGACCTCGTGATTCGTCCGTTTGCTTGCCGAATCTCTCATTCCTTACGGTTTCAACCGCTTCGTTTCACAAATCCCAGACAAGACAATGGGTACCCTGCCATGAGCCAAGGGGCGTAGACTTGCGGGGTTTAGGAGTAGGCTTGTGGGGGATAGGACTCCGCCCTTGGTGCTAGAAGAAACCAGCTCTGTTGAAATGCTTGCATCACGTGGCTTTCTGTCGCAGATCGTTTCTTTTCAATCATCAGGCAATGCGTCTTCATCTGCAATCATACTTGACAAACGGCCTGAGAACCCAAAGCCCTCGAGCTTGACCGACTTCCGTTTTCGTACCTGGAGCGCCGATCTCAGATTCGGAAAACCCCTTTTCACCTCGCAGCTCCGGTGTTTGGGCTGCACCTGTACACATCGTGCATGCTGCATCTGGAGCACCTGCGTGTCCGCACACCCATTGGTGTAAGAGAACGACGCACCAAATGCATCGGCCCAGAGACGGTCTTTTCTTCATGCTGATCGACTTATCGTAGTTCTATGCCAAGCACTCAGAGACCTGTCTGGGCGAAGCAGCCAATGGATCAGAATGAGGGTCCTTTGAAAGAGGGCCCAGAGGTTAGGGACGTCGGACCCCTTCTTCCACTTGTGCTGCGGAGTGCGCCGACCTGTGCTTCGGCGAACTCTACAGAAAGCAGTTTTACTACATGCAACAAATTATGGAACGCACGCTACGAACGGCTCAGGACATCATGCCCTCTGCAACTTTCACGATGTCAGCTAGCACCTTCTCGAGGTGCTGCTGGGGAATAGACTTGATCAACCGGTTGAAATCAGTCATCACCTGCTCTGCTGTCTTTGGGCCTTCGTCAAGCTGTCTGGCGATCATGCCTGCATAGCTGCCTTTCTTGTCAAGCAACTCCGAGTGCTTCCCCTCTTCCACAATTTCTCCTTCACTTAAAACGATGATGCGATCAGCATTCTTTATGGTTGATAGCCGGTGTGCAATGACCAGGATTGTGCAAGCACCTTGCATTTGTTCCATCAGGGAGTCAAGTGCTTGCTGCACAATGGCTTCGTTTTCGGCATCTAAGGCTGATGTGGCTTCATCCAGTAGGAGGATGCGGGGTTGCCGCACCAATGCCCGAGCAATGCTGAGGCGCTGTTTCTGGCCGCCGCTCAGATCCTGCCCACTCTCGCACAAGATGGTGCTGTAGCCATCTGGCAGGCAGCGGATAAACTCATCTGCGTTAGCTAGCATAGCTGCGCGCTCCACATCCTGGGTCGTGTACTCTGTCGGGTGCAGCCCATAGGCGATGTTTTCTGTTACAGAGCATCGAAAAAGCTGCGTATCCTGCGACACCACGCCCAGCCTGGCCCGATAGCTGAGAAGATG